GGGATCGAACCAACAACCTTCCGATTTGGGGGACGACCCGCTCTGCCTCTGAGCCACAGCCGCCCTACAATGGGAAAGATGCTTTCTCATAATAATGCATGTTTATCACAGGGGGGCGCAATACCACAGCCATTCCAACATCTGTGGAGTGTAGAACAAAGGTCACGTTCAGGCTGGCATATTTGTGGGTCACAAATATGTCACTGAAGTATTTATGTTACACTCAAGTCAGATTAGGTTCTGTCTTCATTTTTTAGTCTTATATTTATTATTACATCTCTGATTGCACACATTCTCTGAGTAAAATGCTCTTTGTAAAGGTCACAAAATTTTAATTTCAACAAAATTACCATTTATCATGACAGGCTAAAATGTTTACAACTGCAGGCCTGATTGAAGCCTGGTTAAAACCTCAGGAGTCAGATACATCAGTTCAGACTGAACATTAGAGCCCCCATAGTCACAGCAGCACATAGTGATTATACAGTTATGATGAATAAAAGTGTAGCAGCAAAAACCCCAACCACAAACAAACCCTAAATGAATGTGTAGTTAGTATGTAGTTATGGGACGGCAGTTCTGAATGAATGGAACAGAGATCTGACCCGGCTCATTTAGTTTAATTAAGTTTTTAATTATTGGTGTGAGATTGGTGCAGATTTTGTTTCTACAACTGCAGTGGCCACCAGTGTGTGTCAGTGCATCGTGACATCACTTGAGTGTGGTTACTTACACTTTCAAGATGGTTAATTTGTTGACCTGTTTTATTTTAAAATATAAAGCTGCAGTAAGTCATTTATTTTTTTAAATAACCTTTTGTCACATTTGCTGAAACTTTCATTATATCCTGACAGTAGTTTGTGAGACAGGTAATCTGTTAAAAAATCCGGTTCCTCTGGCTCCTCCTAGTGTTCCTAATGACACTAGCAAGAATCCACCAGGCCCGAACAAAAAAAAAACAATCAGAGCTGAAAAAGACAGTTGATTGTTGAGTCTTATTCCTAGTGCATCAAATACAGACACTTTAGGATCCTGGGAATGAGACTAATGAGCAAATGTCTTCAAGCCGCCAACCCAAAGTGTCTTTTATATCATTCTGTGATTTGTTTTGTCTTTGTGATTGGTTGTTTTCGACATATGTTAGCATCTTTGTTGCTTTATTAATTTGAATGCAGGTATATTGTGGGTTAAGTATGTGGTGTAACCTGTACAATGTAAAGTTATTGTCTGATACTGATGATACTTGCCCCACAGTACAGAAATAACTGACATATGGAGAAATATTTTAATTTTAATGTTAAATTGAATTATCTTTAATAATAATAAAATAAATTAAAAGTAAACTCTGTTCTTAACTGACTCCAACATTTTTCTGAATTTGGACTGACAGATCTGTTTACCTTGCTTAGTTCCCCTCATAGATTAAGACTGGCTAAATTGAAGCACACACATTGCAGTTTATTTATTTATCAACATAATGTGATGTTTGAGTCTGATAAAGTTTCATGACTGCTTTTTTTTTTTGTTCTTATGCTGCTTCTCTCAGCTGCTCAGTGAGGAGGTAGACAAAGTAAGTACTTCCACAACAGGAAGGTGTGTGTTGCTACCTGTGTTTGTGTCCACACTTCTTGAAAAGCATCACATGTGTCTGTACAGCCCTTCCAACACATATTATGTATGCATTTCCACCTGCAGTCAGAGCATGAGCTGCGCGTCGCTCAGACAGAGTTCGACCGACAAGCTGAGGTCACCAGACTGCTTCTGGAAGGCATCAGCAGCACACATGTGAGTGTACCACGTCCATTTTGGACGTGTTGTGAGTGGTGTTGTGTGTCCTAATGTGAGCCAGCAGTGCTGGAAAACTGTTAGTCAGAGTCACCAGACCTTGTCTGTAGAGATGCAGAGGCAATGTGAATCACAGTGTACACATGAATACAGCCAAAAGTATGAACCCATGAACTTTTTTCTAGCTCCAGACACTTGTATCACTACAGGGATTTTGCTGCGGAATAATAGCCACTAACAGACATACGTGAACATAAAATTTATGTAACATCAGCAACAAGCTTAGCTCATAAGGAGAAGGTTAGGGTACTCGCAATTCGCTGAGTACAAAGGCCCGCTCATACCAGCAATTAAAAGAGCTAAACTTGTGGCAAAGTAAAATCGTTTTGAAGCCTTGAGTTTCGCATAATGGTGGTTGCCATGAGTGGAGGTGATGTATTGTGAGTGCTGCTCTCATTAGCTGTCCATTATATATACTGTCAGTAACGGTAACGCAGTGCTTAAAATGGAGGACAGTATTGTAGCTCAGTGGTTCCCAACCCTGGGGTCTGCAAAGCTTCACAGGGGGTCGCAAGGACTTCTTGATTTTAAGGAGAGTAAGAAAACTAGAGGATAAGGGCCTGGTGAAAACTTGAACTCAAACTATAGCCTAATAGAACAATGGCCAAGCATCAGGGAAACTCTGCACAAAGTTCATCCAAGTCTCTAGTTTTACACAAACTTCCTGCAGTTATTGTGTTGACTAATTGGGGTCACTTTACAGTTCATCAGTTGTTCTCTACTGTTATTGTTATGCATTAATAGAATATCAATAATAGAAAAGGAGGAGGAAGAAGGCTGTAACCAGGTTTTATTCAGCCCGCCTCAGCATTTTTGGATTAGCTAGGAGCCAGTGGAGTCAGGACTGCCAAGATGGCGACTGCCAGAGCCGACCACACTGAGCTTCACAACTGCTCTTCAGAGACCTATGGGGGACATTACAGAGACTACTTCCATTTTTAATTATACAGTCAATGCTTTCCAGTCTGTATGCTAACCTAAGCTAACCAGCTGCTAGCTGTAGCAATTTAACGGACAATATAAGGCTTCTTATCTAACTCTTCACTAGAAGGCAAATAAGTGAATTCCCCAAATGTTTAACTATTACTATTCTTTGTGCACTCGCCTGTCTGCCACCAATGAAGTTACTGATGGAAGTAACACAAAACTGACGTGTGAAAAAGAAGAACATTTAAAGGAATATTTTCATTACAATATGTTATGCACTTTCACATATCAGGAGGCGTGTGTTATTCAAACGTGCTGGGTATGTGAGCCTTTGACTGAAATGAAGAAATCAGTGTGTTCTGATGATAATGTGATGATAATTAACCAACTGCCATTGGGTACTGCTGGATATTTCACTCATACTGGAGTTCATCTTCTCTTCTCTCCCCTTTAGCTCAACCACCTGCGTTGTTTGCATGATTTTGCGGAGGCTCAGGCCACGTACTACGCCCAGTGTCATCACTACATGCAGGACCTTCAGAGGGAGCTCAACAGGTGAGGGTTCACTGCTGTTGGTAGCTTTATCTCCAACATTTGAATGCCAAAAGTAGATTAGATTAGATTAGTATACTTTTGTAGCTCTCAGATCTACAGGTAATGGGACTTCAAGAGTTAATGAAGTTTAAAAATCCTGTGTTTTTTATTAATGTTTGTGTTGTGGTGTTTAACTGATGGGAAGAGTTAATCACAGCCAGTTATGGCTTTAGCACATACTTCCTCTGTTAGACAACTGTAAGTGCGTAATATGCTTACGCCATTTGACGCTTACACAAATTGCAAACTGTATGCTGACTGATGAAATTCTGAGGAAAGAGAAGAGCCCCTTTTCCCAACAACAAAAATCTTCAATCCAAGATTATTACAACACCCATTTTATTATGGATCCAAAAAGCAGAGGCTACAGATGTTCTCACAAATCATTGTAGGTTGACGATGTTGTGGCTTCAGCCAGTGTATACAGCCTTCCTTTGAAAAGGACCCAAGCTTTTTTTTCTGTCAGTAAACTGCGATCACAGAGCTGGAGGTGTATGTGCGATATAAAATGCAAATTAAATGAAAAGCCATATTCTGACTGTTTATTGTATCATAACACACCGTTGGGTTGGTGGCTAGAAGATAGTTGATTGTTGAGTCGCATTCCCAGGTCGCCAAAAACTCTGAGCACGGATTTCACTCTATTTCCAATTTACCATTACACAAAACGTCGGTATTTGAAACCCTGGGAATACAGATAAGTATATAATAAATAAGAGGAAAGGTACATTCAAAACCTGAGCAGTAGTAATAAATAAAGGAAAACAGGAGTAAAAATATCTAATATCTAATATAATATCTAAAACTAAACAAAATAAATGAAAATGTTCGTAGCAGGTTGGCTTCACACAATTGTCTACATGCTGCAGCAAAACATTTGGATATTCAAGAGGATACAGTGGAGAAAATCTAAATCAATAAATACATAGTGGATGTTTCTTAAATTAGATATCTTAACAGTATCGAGTCTCAGAAGTTTGATAAATTGCACCCATTTTTCCCCAGTGTTGTATGAAGACATCCATCCATCAAGTTCAAATAAAATGTTGATTGTCACATCTGTCCATTTATGGTAGGTCCAACATCCCCTACCATCGTTTGGTCAGAGCCTTTTTCCCTGCTGCCAGCAGTTTACCCATTAAATATCTATCAATGCCTTTTGCTTCTAGGGACATATAACCTAAGTATTCAGTAATAGTCCATTGGTATGTGTGTTTTTGAAGATGCTCTGTAGTGCCTTATGTACTTATTTCCAGTAATTCTGTATGTTTTGACAACACCCTGATTTTTTCACAGATTATCTGTCTCATGTACTGAAAAATTAAAGTAAGTAAAGTAAAGTAAAAATTTCAGCGATAATAACAAAAAGTAATTTTTTATAAAAGCTACCTACAGAGTCAAGCTTCCAAATCTGCTTTAACCTGACCAGCTGGTCTTTCAAAATGTCTTTTCCCATGTGGCAAAAAATCATTATTACACAGGATGTGATAATTTTCGCAACCATAAATTCCACAAATAAATACTCCACATTGAAAACTCATATGCCATTTGTTTCCCGGTCATCACGCAGATGTGCTAATGCCGTTGGGGCCCCCCTCCCCCCTGCTGCTGTCTGCCCAAACCCCGTCTCCTCTGCTTTCCTGTCTGGACCGTCATCTCCTGGAGCCACTGTCTCCACATCATCCGGCCAAAGGCCCAGCACGCTGGCTATGGAGCAGATACAGCTCCCTGTCACAGGCGCTAGAAAGGCTAAGGTCCTGTATGACTATGATGCTCATGACGCCAGCGAGCTTTCCCTGTTGGCTGATGAGGTACAGTAGGATATTCTGAGTTATACCCCACATACTAATGTTATGGCTATGGCTGAGCTACTAAACCCCTTGTGCAAGATAATGTGAGGCAACTGGAAAAATAATTGAAAAATATTTATTGGAAGCTAAAGGAATAGATATGAATCAGTAATGAACAAAAACAAAACCCAATAAAATCACTTTTCTTTTTATGTGTAGAAAGAAAGCAGTGGTTCTCAACCTTTTTTCTTAAGGGACCCCTTTTCTATAATTTAGTAAACAGACACTTTGTCATGAACCCGCTTTTAGCTCATGACTAAGAAGGGAGACCACACAGACAATTTAACAGTTCCAAGCCAAAATAAATTTAACACCCCCCGCATTAGAGTGGAGACCCACCAGGTACTCCGCAGAAATATTACAGGGAATTACTATATTCCACTGTACAAACAACAGTCAAATCAGTACCAAACAAACAAAAAACCTTTACTTCTACTTTCGGCTTATACAAAATCCCAAACACTTTAACATAATCCATCTAAACACTCACCCTCTCTGCAACCTCCGTACCTTTAGGAGTATTTAAGATAAATTAATACAGACCAACACAGAGACACAAGAAGGCCCAAATCGGGGCAACCCTAATCGGACTTTTAAAAAGCACGAGACAGGGCATCAGCCATGACATTGTCAGTACCTTTTTATATGGCGAATATCCAAATGGTAAGGTTGCAGAAATAAGGCCCATCTCATTAAACGCTGATTCGGATTTTGCAAGGAATGCAAAAAAGTAAGGGGGGTTATGGTCTGTGTACACTACCAGTGGAGTCCCGGAACAAATATACACCTCAAAATGCTGCAATCTCCAAATTAATACCAAATTTTTTTTCGTTTGCGTTTGACATTGTCGGTTCCTCCAAAGCAATCAACAACAAATCAATCTTTACTCTATCTTAATTGACTTTAACGTCTGCTGTCTGCTAAACAGAACTCTATAACAACGCAGTCCCTCCTACCGTACCACTTGGCAGTTGCTAGCTGCATGTCTCTGCCTGAAGTGATCATCTTTTTTACAGACAAAGTTAGTCTTGTTAAAAGAAAAGTAATGCCTGCAAAAAAAACAAGGACCGCTGCCCCCAAATAACTAACGCAAACGCTTCTCCATCTGTGGATCCTCCTGCGTACCCCTGAATGAGAATTGTGGCACTTTGCTTGAGTTACTGCACCAGCCAGGAACAACCCTACCTCAGGTTCAGAAGCTGTTACTTCTATCTGACAGTAAAGGGAATGGTAAATGGTGGACCTGTACTTGTATAGCGCCTTCCTAGTCTTCCAACCACTCAAAGCGCTTTTCCACTACGTGCCATATTCACCCTTTCACACAGTCTCACAGACTCACCTGAGCCAGCCCTAACTATAAGCTTTATCAAAACGGAACGTCTTAAGCCTATGTATTAAAGTATGTATGTAAAGGAGGTAAAGTATTTCTTCTTCTTCTTCTGTGGTGGAGGTTTGTTGGTGAAGAGCAAGGAGGATTTTTCAAAACTATTTAAGTTTTTCTTTTCTTACTGAGTATTGTATGATCATTGTTTGTTATATTAGTTATTTTATAGTTTAAAGTCCGTTTAGTGTTTTTGTGTGTTTTTTCGTGTCTCGTGGTGAGGATGGCGTCCTCTGAGACGCCACCTGTGTCACTGAGACAGGGAGTGAGGCTGGTGCCACCACACAGCTCCACCGTAGAGCAGGTGTTGCTGGCTGTGGGAGAGCAGATAGGCCACGGAAACATCCTTTATGCCTCCCGCATGAATAAAGCGCTCGTGGTGTTTTTGACAAACCAGAGCTGTGTAAGTGAACTCATCGAGAGTGGTTTAATTTTAGATGAGGAGTTCATTCCAATTTCCCCACTAGCTGTGCCCTCTACCCGGATAACTGTGTCCGGCGTTCCTCCATTCATCCCGAACGAAGCGCTGGAACGAGAGCTGAAACGGTTCGGTAAGTTTGCGAGTGGTTTCCGTACTGTTGCTTTGGGATGCAAAGATGAAAAATTAAAGCATGTTCAGTCTCTGCGGAGACAAGTTTTTATGTTTCTGGACTCGTCAACTCAGACACTGGATGTGTCCTTCCGTGTTCGACATGAGGAGAGGTTTTACATGGTGTACGCGAGCTCTGGGAGCATGAAGTGTTTTGAGTGTGGTGATGTGGGCCATAAACGTATTGCATGTCCGCACAGACAGCACACAGCGGGACCCGCTGAGGACTGACAGTGGCCGGAGAGTACGCGGCCCGCACACGCGAGTTGTTTCGAGAGATGGAAGCAGGGAAGGGAGAAGATGTAAATGTTGTGAGTTTAGAGGAAGGAAAGTAGGGGGAAAAAAAGTGAGTGGGGACTTGAACATAGGATTACCCTACCACCTTGGGGGAAGGGGGAAAAAGCCCCTAAAGCCCGCAACAGAGCCCAAGGTGGAAAGGCCTGTAACAAGCATGGAAAAAGGGGAGGCAAAGTTAAACACAAGGAAGGGAGGCCTGGTAAACAGCCCAGGACAGGGGAAGGCCAGGTACAGCAGAAAACAGGGGAGGCAAGGACAAGGGGGGAGGGCCAAAGGTACAAGCAGGAACAGGGTAGAGCTGTTTTTGAATGGGGAGCAAGGAGGCATCGGGGTTGCCTGGGCCCACCAGAAAACAAGCTGGGGTACTAAGGCGAATAAGAAATTAAAACCAATCCAAGGTTTGACGGAAATTGGACCCTCCAGATGGTGAGGGTGACTTTTTCTGACCCAGTGGTGTCCTTGTTAGCAGAAAGTGGGGTTCCCTTCAGGAATAAAAAAACAGACCCCTCTTTCCTTTAAAGAGGTTTAAATGAATTTTCCAGAAAGATCCTTTTGGGCGGTCAGTTGGAAAAATAAGTGAATATTTCCCGATATTAAAAAGGTTTATTCCAGAAAACGGTGAAAATACTCTTCCAGAGTTTAGGGGACAGACCTTGCTTGGATGAAAGAAGAAGACCGTACCGGTCTTTTAAAGAAAACAGTCAACCCCGTTTTTCCTGAAGAAAAGGTCTTAATAAACGGGAACCAAAAAAAAACAAAAAAGAAAAAAAATGAGAATATTCCTCAATAAAATTAACCATGGAATAAATACAAACAACTGGGGTGTTCCCTTCTCTTTTTTTTGTGTTGGGTCTCTTTTGTCTTGTTTTTTTTCCTTCTTCTTTTTCCTCCTCTTCCTAATATGCAAGGCCCTTAAAGGTTTGCCTCTTTTAAATATTAACGGAAGGGGAAAAGAAAGCCTATGGTCAAGAGGTATTAAGACAGAAAAGCCCCCCAGATGTTTTAAATTTTTTTTTACAGGAAACGCAAACAATGGATAGCCCTGAAAATGAAAAACAACCTGGAGAAAATATGGTGGGGGGGTTCCAGTTAAATGCAACTTCAGCCCCAGGCCCTCCCCCTAAATCTCAGTGGCCTTGGATTGCATGTTTTTTCATCCTCTCCCCCTCCACTAAATGTTGAAATATTTATCCCAGAAAACCAGAGATGTAGCCAGGCCCCCGATCAGGGAAGTTTCCTTGAAATGGTGGGAAAAGGCCAAAAATAGAAATTACCTTACTTTTTATTATAATGTATGCAACCAATCATGTCTGTGAACGTTTGGGGTCTGTGGTTAAGTTTATAAAGACAAGTTTTAGATAGCTTGTGGTCCAAGGGGATGGTTTTAATAATATGGGGGGACCCTGGAACTGTTTTGCACCTGATGTCATTTAGAGACCCAGGACAGAACAAGACCCCATCCTCAAGTCCCCCCGTCTTTCCTTTCCCTGTCTCAGCCTGCTAAAAGGAAAGGCCAGTTTAGTGGGGATTGTGTAGGGGATGAAAAATCCTCCAGCCTAAACAAGTTTTTTCAACTTGGTAAAAATAGTCAGATGGGTTAGGTTTTAGTGCACCAGGTTTTTTAGACCAGATTTACGTTCCTGCCCTTTCTTTTTTATAACTCGTGCCAAAAGCTAACGGTCCAAATCCCTCCCTGTTTTGGTTTTTAAGACCATCCATTTATTTTTAGTAGAATTGGGTTTTATCCCTAACTGGGAAAACCTAGTCTTTTCTGGCAATTAACATTAAAACTTTTACAATGACTTAATTTTCGTGAAAAACCTTTTCCAACTTTTTTTGGCTAATTTGGAAAGAAATCCAAGAAAAGTCTTTTCCCTGATCAGTTGGGTGGGAGTGGCAAGGGTCCAAGATTAGGTGTTTTTCTGTCAAACAGGTTACACGTTTTCCTTTAAATCTACTGCAAAAATAGAGGGGCTTATGGAGCAGTTAGAAGTCAGAATCAAGAGAGCTAGAAAAAGTAATGTCCCGCTGAAAACACTGAACAGTACACCCAAAAAGCAAACACCCTGAAACTCGTTTTCCTTCAAGAGAACTTAAAAGGAAGACTGTCCGAGCAAACGCTTTCACCACAAAGAAAAAAACAATAAGAGCCAACCAACTCTTTCTTCTTCACCCTGGAAAAAGAGGTTCTTTTGGCCAAAGAATACAGCAAATGGGTGTTCTCTGCCCTGCCTAATGGAAAATTTTACCTCTGAACCCCGCTAGGAAGATAAAGA